GGAAAGCCGGCGGCCTCGGGGGTGAAGTAGTGGAGGACGGCGAGAAGTGTGAAGAGTAATAAAATGCGGGAGCAGGTGGTATTCATTTGGGGGAGAGAGGAAATCTGAAGGAAATAAAATACAAGGAAGGGGAAGTACTGAGAAAAGCGTGTAATATATAGCGTGGATGGGCACAGCTCTCCTGAAACTGCAAAATAATAACTTTTTTAAATTATTTTTTATTAATAAAGGGAACTAAGGGGGATCACAGTTGTCTTTTAAGACTGAATTTAAGGCAGTGCTCTGTGTCTCTGTGGGCGTTGTAAACTTTAGGTAAGGAGTAGACCTTAAAACCCGCTGATGATATTTGCTCTCCCTCTGCTGACCTCTGCATGTCTTCACAGCCCAACTGATCAACTCCATTTAAAACTCCAGCTAGGTCCCTTCCCAGAAATGTAAGTAAATGAACACGAACAGGGGGCTTAGACAGTTTATATAGCTGGGTATATTTATGTGCATGGAGGACTTAGATCCTTCATGATCACAAGTGGGTTTTAGTTGTATAAGCCATGTCAAAGGACAAGTGCCAGGTAGAGAAAGTGCCTTGCCCAGGATCGTTTAAGAAGAGGGTAGTGGAGGCAGGAGTCGAATACCGGTCACTGGGGCAGCTACGGATCAGACCAGCCTCCCCAGGCAGATGAGGCAGAGGCACCTCGAGATGTCTGCTCAGATGAACTTCTGCCTCTTCAAATAGAAGGTGAGTGGTGTGGAAGCAGGCTGATGCATAACTTTACTATACTCTTAAAAAGCAGATGAGAAAATAGTAAAAGAAATGTGCCATTAAAGCATTTCCATCTAGAGAGAGAGGGTGGTGCAAAGCCAAGTTAAAGCAGCTGGGCATGGTCCTTTGATCAAACGTTCAGGTCGGGGAGCGGGGCTGGAGCCTGATGTGCACTTTCACAGAGTTAATGACAGGGGCTGCTATCAGTGGTGACAAGGCCACAGATCTAGTCATTTATTAACCTTTTATATAATTTGGTTTATTCACCATTATGCAAGAAATTGTAAAATTGTAATATACATTGCATGCTGCAGCTTATTTGTTCTCTTTTAAAACAGTGAATTTCTCCATTGAGCTGAGGAATTTTGCCAAAGATACCAACTTGCACATATCAGTATAGAAATACATGGACTGGGTCAGAGCAGAGGTCCATCTTGCCCGATCCTCTGTCCCTGGCAGAAGCTGGTGGTGGACTTCTAGGTAAAAAGTAAAAGCATTCAGTGATCTGGTCTGGCCTCCCACCTCCAGCCATCTGTGACTGAGGGGCTTCCCTGGGCCAGGAGTCTTACCTTTCTGTTTCATGTTGGATTTTATACAACTTCAGGTTGCCTGATAAAATGCTCATGTCTAAAATATGAACATGAAAGCTGTTTTTTATGTTGTATTCTTCCTCTAGATAGGCCAAAGTGACCAGCAGTCCAGTCCCTACAGCCCCAAGCAAAGAGTGTAAAGCATCCCCTGGAGGGACCAGCAGTCTGTGCAAGTGTACAGCTGATGCTACAGCACAGCCTAGTAGCTCTGAATGCCAAATAACAAGGAGGAGGTTGATGAGGCCTTTCTCTCTTGTTATTCCTTGTAATTTAGGTAAATATATTCTGGGATCAAAATACTTTACACTTCCTGAGAAATTATGATGACAACTTCACCAACGGCACAACTGTATCTTTTTATGAGCCTTTTCACAGGCTTGATTCTTCCTTTGTCTAGTTATGCAGTGTTTCAAATTCCCAAGCAAAAGCCAAAGAAAGATCTTCCAAGTTAGAGTTTTGTTATTTTCTGAAAACCTGAACTCAGAATTTGCACCCGGGAAATATTTATCAGATTGTCTCATACACTCCTCATACCTCCCCCACTGAACTCCCAGGTCACAGCCAAAATGCTGACTGTGTTGCTTCTTCTGGTTCATTTTGAAAGATTTCATATGAAACTAGTTTTTCCCGTTTCCCTCTGGAGGTTACTGTAGTGTCGCTGAACTTCTTTCCATAAACTCAGGCCTTGGAATCCTTAAATAGCTAGTCTGCATCCTCACTGTTTATGGTTGGAGAGTGTTTGCAAAACAACTGTCATGCCAGCCTCCCCCACAACCATTTAGACATAATCCATTCTTTATTTTTGTTCTCATAAATTGCTTCATCCAGACCTTTAAAAAAATAGTTTATTTTCCTCTCTGACTCTCCTGCCTATGTTTCAACAGATTTCAGGTATACAGTTGGCTGCAGTGCTGGATGGGAATCTCTATATTGGATTTACCTTTAGAGACCTGAAGGGCAAGCCCACTATATCCTCTGTTCAGTGCATAATTTGATTTCTGCACTGTTTTTTATCACCACTTCTATCATCAGGAAGCCACAGGCAAGGACAAGCCGAAGGCGGGGTATTCTGGGTACTCCCTGAGGCACCAAAGTCCTTGACTTGCGTAGTTATTATTTTTCTACAGATCTTAATTGTGCTAAAGGATGTTGGAAAATGTCTGGAGGTCAGTGCTTGCATGTGGAGAAGATACTCTGCGAATTAGACACCAATTGAATTATTATCTGTGATTTTGGGGACTGAACTGTCTCTTAAACTATTTTGGAAAATCCTTCTAGACACCTATCTATGCCATTAGCTATCTGAATAGTTTTGAAAAAACATCCCCTGGTTTCCAAGGGTCTTGGCAGAAGTCAATGCGACGTCTTTCAGAGTGCTGGAAATTCTGAACATATCTGCTGAATAACAAGGTTTTGAGTGCCCAGTTCCAGATAGCTAAAAAAAAGCTCTTTGCAGAAGATAGATGTTCAAATTTGGTCCCTAGAATCTGACACATCTTCAGTCTTGGAACAGACCAAGGTTATCCAACCCTACCTACCCTCTGAACATGTGAACGGGGCATTCTTTGCACTGATGGAGAATAGGTTAAGGCTGTATTTTAAAACATAGCTTCCTCTACCCCTCCCTGCCCAGCTGGAATTGCCAAACAGTAATCAATCTTTCTGCATTCATCAGGCGTTCAGTACTTTTGAAGATCAGATTCCCCAGCTGTGTCAGATGGAGTGCTGTAAAAATAGGACAGAGAGAGAAATTCACCTGATCTTTATAGAAAGAACTTCCTCTGGTAAGCAGAAAGAATGATTGTATAGCCTGAAGGTATTCACACTCAAGTAGACTGAGCTTGTCAACTCATTCTGCTTGGGACACCAAACAGCCATCACTGAAGGGTCAGATTTCACCTACTGACCTAGGTTTGAAAGGCAGCAACAAAATGCAGAAGTTCTGGTCTCCTTAATAAAGCTGACTTGCATGTGCTTTGCTTTATTTTCTCTAGCAGAGTCCCATGGAGAAAGGCTTAAGCAGATGAAAAAAAGAAAGATTTCCCTTTCTTTCTGGTAGAGAATTAACTCCTTTGAGGTCTCCTGCGAGCATACAACCTTCTCCTATGCATCGGAAGTCTCCGCAGCTGAGTATTTCCACGCCTCTGGCTCTGCAGAGCATTCAATCGGATGGGAAGGACAGTTTTGCTGATGACGTTGAGGCGTTCATTCAGTTCTTCTAGCCTTTTCCTTATCGAATGGACTTCCCTCACAAGATTGTCCACAGCTGCGGAGACAGGGCGGAGGCTGCAGAGAGAGTAATACAGGAGAATAACTCAGTGTGAGGAGTGTTCCTGAGCATGCAAAATAATTTACCATGGCCTTGTGTTTGTTGGTGGGGAAGTTGCAAGGAACCATTAAAAGATGCTTCCAAAGCCACCCTGACCCTCAGGTGGTGGGAACTCATCTGAGATGCCCCTGTCTGAATCCAGCAAACCACAAGCTTCAGGACCAGCATGGGCTCTTTCCATCGCTACCAAAGCACAGCTGGCTCAGTGCAGAATGACAGCTGGTTTATGAGCTCCCAGAAGCACTTCACAGCACTTCTGCTGTGGGGGAGATGAAAACCATCCTACATGGCTGGAACCAGCAGGGGTAGAGAAGAAGAGAGCAGCAATGCATGGGATCACCTATGAAGACTTCCCAATGAAGGGCAGGCTACTGCATGCCATGGTGCAGCTGTGATTGCACAGCTCCATGGTCGCTCCAGGCTGTGCCTCTGCCTGAGCTGAAGGAGGGGGAGAGCCAGGTTTTACATCAGGATTTGGAAAGGTGAGGGCTGCACTGATGCACCAGTGTGCTTGCGGGTAACCATGTCCCTTCCTGTGGAGGTCTTCCTCTCAGTCTCCCTTTGGGTGTTATGAAGCTCTGATGATCATTCTAATCTTACCTGATATTAGTTAGTATTAATTAGCCGCACTGTTAACCAGCAGCAGACATGGAGGCTGGGCCAGTGATTCCAATGGATTACTGTCAGTCCTCAATATTTCTAATGGACTTGCCTGTGTCCTTACCAGGAAACTCTTAATTCAAAGCCCTATGCAGGAAACATGGCTGAATAGTCTCATTACATCTCCCTGGACGAAAGATAGAGCTTTCCAAATACATGACTTAATATTGGCCCTGATAATCTTAGGCACCAATTCATTTCAGCATTGGCAGTGTGAAAGTTGTGATGAATTCTGTGCTAATAACAGCAGCCATCATGCAGTCAGGGAGAAACCCACTTGATGCTAAAGGCCAGCATACAATCTATCAACTATATCCTCTTGAAACCCTAATTTGTACAGATATTATGTGACCTTCTGACTAGTGCCATTTTATTCTTCTAGCCTTTCCTCTTCAACTGGTTCAATGCTTAGCAGTTGTGGACAGATATTCTTTTCTTTTTCCTAAAGAGAAAGCTGAGGTATGGAAGAGGACCACTTCCTTTAGGAACCACTCTGATTTACGTGATATTTAGGTTTCTAGTATTCCCTACCTCTCTCTCTCTTTCATTGCCTTTTCCACTCTGTTTCTGGAAATTTCAGATTAAATTAGATTCTGTGAGTGTGCTCAATCGTTAATATTTCCTGCAATGCAAAGGGGGAAATATGAAGACATGGACTAGTGAATAGCTTTCTCCGATCTGGGTGTTACAGAGATTGAAATCAAAAACATCACAGGCCAAATCAGCTTCTTCTTCTTGCCCTGTGGCCAAGTCTATGTGTGGATTTGTAGCACAATTCATTTTTTCATCCTGTTCTCACAGGAGTGAGGTGCTGACAACAGCCTAAATTTTCTTTAGGATAATTCTTATAATACAGTCATGGCAACTGAGCATGTTTCACAATAAACAGTAAGCAGAATATTCAGTTTACTAATCAGAGCTGCTAGCACAACAGATACCAAGACAGTATGATTCATGTCCCCACAACTGAGCAATCTGAAAGTTCGTCTTAAAGAAGATGAATGCCACTCAAGGAAGGACACCCAGGAGAGGACTGAATCCCACCTCCGGATGAAGGGAATTACCTGGAGAACTCGGGCAGTAAAGCATTTGGGTTGTTCAGAAGGGTGGGTTTCATTTTTTTTTTGTGTTTCATTTGCCAGAAGATGCCATTTCCCCATTTCTCAAGTGTTTGAGTAATGCTGTTAATGCCTTCTATGTTGACCTTGTCAGCTAGGTTAGCAGGACATCCGTGGAAGAGAGGAAAATAAACATGACAGAACAAGAAAACATGAGCCAGTGGTCTGAATTTGATTCCACTCCCCATCACTTGGAGTGAGTTACAATGAAATGCCAAATATTAAACATACGGAGGATCTAAATTAAAAAGCAGATAACTCTCCCTCACAGTGTAATTCTCTGCCTCTGGTTGCCCGAGTTTTCTTCTGCCACTGGATACTCCAGCTGATTATTCCTAAAACCATTTTTCTTTCCAAAAATCTCAGCAGCTTCCCAGGAATCAAGAAGAAGCACTCATGAATGAGCACTGTGTGTCTCACCCCAAGGACGCAATAGGCAAATCTTCATCCCTGAGTTAGCGAATGCTTCCCAGGCTGACCCACCACCACCACCTCTTACCGCCTTCTCTGTAGTTCCATTTCTGATGCTGGTCCAGAAATTCGTCCCGGGCTTTACTGCAGGGCAAGAGGACGAAGAAGAGGAAAAGAGGAAGAGTCACCATGGTGGCTGTTCGTAGGACCTTGACTTTCCCCTGCTCTGTGGAGACAAAAAATCTTGTTTATTTCTCTTTTTCCTCTCCTACTCCACTTCCCACCTGTCACCCCAACACAAAGTTTCTCTCTGATGATGTATTTCTTTAAAATATTGTTCAAGTTTCTCAGCCTAGCTTTTACAGAAGCACAGGGACTTTTCTTTTTCACAAGTACAAGCCTCCTTACTTTTTTTCAAGCCATTGAGTGGTACAGAGATGCTTCATCAACTGGCAGCAGCTAGGAAAGCAGCTTTGCTTCATACGTCGCCATGTTGGGATAGAACCTTATAGCTGTACATGGTCTATGAATGTCAGGAGGAGGTACCACGAAGTACGGAAATAGCTGCATCCCCACTTTACAGTTAGGGAAAGCAAGGTACAAACTAGTGAAGCAATTTATCAAGGATTTAATAGAGGCCAGAATAGGAAGTTGTTCTTTTTGATCTGATCCACTAACCAGTGGCAATAACTGAGATGCTGCCCAGCGATGGAGCCTCAAAGGCAACCCCACCCCCCATGAACTGTCTCCACCTTGCCCTGGTGTCAGGGGGTCGGTTCCTCCTGAGCAAATCTGCAGGGTAGATAAGACAGGTATATGAACTGATGTGAGCATTTACCTAAGCTCCTTGTCTTCTTTTGAGTTTACCATCATTCCCAAGCCAATGGAAGTAAGCCCTAACCTACAGCCCCTCCTGGACAAGTACCATTTCTAAATATAACTTGATAGGTCAGTCTCTCCACAGCTTACTCACGCTAATTTGTTATTCTGTCTTAATTAAGTAGTCCCTCAGTGTTGAATCTGATATTTTTATTTTTTTTTAAATGTCATGAACAGCTGTTCTGGTAGAAACTGGCTGGAAATATCAATTATGCACATATTGCACATAGCAAACAGAAAAAATGCATTGCCAAGTTCATGGGGTTTAGCGATGATTTCAGTCATCTGTAGTCACAGTGATGGAGGGGCTCATGTGAGAAGTAGGCACATTCAGAAAATCCAAATTACTCCCCTGTTCAGGTACATGCATCAAAAGTCTAAGACTTCACTGCAAAGTATGAGGACATTAAATTGCTTTTTGAATATCATAACTCTCATCTCCTAGCCATCTGGGAAGAATTCAGCCACCTCAAAACCTACTAGAAGCTGTAGCAGATAAAGCAGTACATAAATAATCCTTTTACTTTGCGCCTTTCTTACATTCAATCACTAGTGTTTTTTAATTACAACTGCATTTATTTTTCCATATATTTAAAATAGCAGTATGAATATAGCCATATTGATGGAAAATGTCATGCTACTTTAAAAATATTACTTTCCACCTGTCAGGATGTATTTTGTACTCAGTATTCTTCTTCTAATTGCAGTATTCATTTAAAGGAAAAAAATAAATTACCTTCTTCTTATCTCATACATACATACACCTCTTCTTCCCCCCAACTCAGAGCTGCCAAAATGAAGATCTCTAAGAAGGTTTGATGATATCACTGAGGCACATAATGAAAAGGTCTTCATGGACCTTCTTGAAACTATTTGCATTGACACCACAGCTCCTCTGCTTCTCTGCATTTCCAGATAAATACTCCAGCCTTTAGACCTTTTTTTTTTTTCTCTTTCTTTTGATGACTATGCACTGCACAGGCCTTTTTAATCTTCCCTGACGGGAAAGGACTTACCAGACGCCAACGTCTCTAATTGCAAATGATTTGAAAATGCTGCCAACATCAAGGATGCAGTGTGGCCTCCCAGCTCACTTTAAAACATCCTGAAGAGACTGTCCATTCCTTACCCTTTCCACCTCCCATCTGTTTCAATACCCCAGGGCTGGGATACTTTGATCTTTCTGTATTTGTTAAAAGAAGGGTGGTGATAAGTTCCACCTACAACTGATACTGAAAATCCACCCTACTTGATCTCAAACTTTTTAAAACATCAGGTGTCCAAATGAATCACAAGACCCACATGCTCTATTTGCAGGTCCCCTCACGGATCAGTTTCTTTGTAGCTTTGCTCCCTGCATTCCTGAGGGCGTGTTGTAATTTATTATCATAGTAAACATCAGGTTATAATCATATTTGAAATATCTCAGACACTTACACAGAAATTGAGCAATCTTCCCTCTCTTAGGTGGAATTGTAGAAGACAAATAGGTATTCACTAATAAGGTTTCTAGCAGAAAAAGTCCGCAGGGTCATCTGTAATAGGAACCAGATCCCAAGCCCATTGCAAATACATCTTCGGATCTGTTGCAGTGTCACACTGGAAAATACTGTCAGGGTAGAACACGGATTGACAAGCAGGGAAAACTCTCTTACATCCTTGGATGAAAGGGCTTTTCTAAGTCCAGAGAATAACAATAATAACATAGTAGCTTTGTTATTGTTACTATTAATTACAATAATACGGCATGCTCTTTGTCAGAAAATTACATCATATTCTGCCCTTGGAGCAGGGTAGGCTCAGTGATTCACCGGACAGTCCCTTCATCTGCAAGTAATGAAGACAGACATATTCATCTCATTATTACACGATATTTTTTTTCTTCTTTTAACCTCCCAATTCCTCTCACTGACATGATAAAAGAGCTGTGCTAGCTCAATACCCTGAGCACAGCCCTGCTGGGATCAGCAATTGTGCCATCCAAGCCTGAATCCCTGCCCCAAAGCAAAGAGGCGCTGCCAGGATTTGAACTCCCATCGCTGCCGCTCTCCCATTCACCCTTTCTGTTTCTTGCTGCTCCAGTATACTCCATTTCACGTAGTGGGAAATGACAATAGAGCACTGAGATTTCACTGGTATCTGCCCCAGATTTTGACATACTAAGGGAAAACAGGTGATGACTTGAGTTCACTACTGCCCATGGATTGTGCTGTCTGCTAGGATATGGGGGAATTGCCTGGGTTATCCTCTCCCAATGCCAAACACAGCTTCATTTCAGAGAGCCCACTCTCCCCTGAAGCCTGACAACACACTGTTCCTATTGCAGACATGTGAGTTGTTGCATTACGATTCAGAGTTTGCCTGCCCCTTGCATATCAAGAGGGTTTGAAACCTTTCCCTGGACTTCTGACTGCTCTAAACACATACACTCTCCTGAAGCCATGCATGAGCATCCTGGTGTGTTAGCTCAAGCCCATGCTTGCTTTGAGAGGAAGATTTTGTTGATTAGAGTTAGAAATCACTGTAGTGATCCCTAAAAGGAAGGATTTTTTGCCGCAATACTGGACTGCAAGTGAATTAGCTTTGTGGTTTTCATTTGAGACCCAGTCCCCTTTCATAATTTTCCCAAGTTCCTTTCGAGCTATTTTCAAACTAAAGCTGAAGAGTGATACTGGGTTTTGGGTTATTTGCAGAGAAATAAAATATACTTTTAAATAAATCAGGGAGTTTGATCTCAGGTAAATCATAAATACATAAAAAGTAGCTCTCACTCCAATGGTAATGGATATTTAAACATCAAAGTATGTTTAAGATTCTCAATTTTGTGAAGGATCTCAAGAGATAATAAAGGTATTTTTGCAGACTGTTGGAATTTCCCTATCTTTATTTCTATATGCAATTTTTAAAGACTATTTTAAGGTTATATTACTTACACACACCCAACTAAAATGTTCTGTTTTACGTATAAAGTCAAAGAAGGTTTAGGCGCTATAAACCAAACAGCTTCACATTAAAAAACAGGTAGTAGCTGCACACAATTTCTCAGTTCATGCCAGTTCTGCCAGAGCTCCCAGGCTGGGATCCTGAAAAGACTCTGAGCTTTTAGAGGAGAAAGCTGCCAAGACTGCAAGTCCAGAACAATCAAAGAATTTGCAAGCTCTACTTGCAAAGCGGATGGCATTTGTTAGCTCTCCAAGCAAAAAAAAATCAGGGTAATATAAACATTAGCATATGCTTGTAGCATTATGTAATGGTGGAAAGATCAAGAAAAATGCCAAAAGCAATTTAAAAAAATTGGGTCCTACAATATTAACCCAGCCACAGCAATACAGCTAGAATATCACCTGTTTCAAAAGTCCTTGTTAAAAATCCATTGTGATGTATTATTCTTTGGTTTATATGTGTGTGGGTATAATGATATACGTTGGTACACGTGCACACCCAGCTTTGGGTTATGTAGGAATAACAATATTTTGACGTTTTCAAGTTTGGCAACATACTTGAGTTAAATAGTGCTTTTGCATGTTATTGAGAGTTACACTGCTCATTTTCTACCTGGATGTTGTGTGAAAGCAAAGACCACCCGAATCCCTCAAATAGCCTGACCATCCTGCTAAACAAAGGGATCTGATTGACAGCTCCGATGACTGACAGCTAAGGTGATGCTGTTGCCAGCAGGCAGGCATACTGATGCTAAAGAAGAAAAAAAAAAAAGCCATCCAGGTGCAAAGCACACATCTACTGCAAATCATAACATTAGTAAAGTACTGTTGATTTTGAGGAGGTAATATACACCTTCTGCCTCTTCTGCAGGTGTACCTGCTTTTTCAGGATATGTCTTATCTCCATCTCTCTCTCATTTAGAGCTTGGTGCTCCCTCTTAAGAAGTTTCCTCTCTCTCCCTGGATAGGCACCCACAGACCTTGCACTCTCCATGTCTGCCTGTCTGGCTGTCCCTAAGGATTTGCTCTCTCCTTCTTTCACTCTGCACACCCCTGTTCTCTGGAAATGTAGGTAGCAATCTTCCAGCCTCCAAGTCCATGCCAGTCTGCACATGTTCCCTCCTCTCCTGGCTCTTCCCACAGGTGCCTTTAGAGTCCCTCAACCCAACAAGGTCTTTCCGAGGTGCATGGATGTGTCTCCTCCAGAAGAAGAAACAAAACATTCCTGGGAAAGAAGGCAGAGAATTGCATACAAGCATTACCTGTGCTCTTGAGGCCAGTCCTTCTGTGATGAGGCTTCCAAATCTCTGCCTCCCTGCTCCTCTTCTCCTCACCACCCCCTCTGCATTTCAGCTTGCAATGAGTGACGTGTCCCTCTTCATTTCCCCGCTCTCTGTGTTTCCACAGTCTTTCCGTGGAGCCTCCTCCAGCTGTACATCTTCTACCCTTCCCTCCCACTCCTGCAAGCTAGCCATCTCCCCCCACACATGGGAACCTTATGGGAAGGAAAACCTGGGCAATGGAGCCCCTCTCGAAAGCAGCTCCGTCTGCAAGGACACCCGTATATCTTTGCCCCTGGTTCTTTTGGGAGAGCTTTCAACCGCTTGTTCTCCGGCACAGCTGTACGACTTCTCTTACTAGTCACAGTTTCCACTATGCAGTGCTTCTCTCTGGCTGCTTGAACCCTCTGGCCATCCAGCCATGAATTTGTTCACCGCGTTGTTCCTGCCTTTTAACAACATGCCAATTAATTCCCTGCTGATTAGTTCATTCCTGATGTGCTCTGCCAAATCTATTTCTGGTGGAATAAACAAGGAGCGATGAATCGGCTGCAGTGTTGTTATTTTTTTTTCCCCTGCCCCCATCCCCCAAGTCCGTGCCTGCCAAATCAAACAGGCTCAGGTCTGGTCAGTAGTTGATAAAGAGATTTCCGAAGGAACACAAGGTGTTGAAGGGATGACTTTTGTGAAGCAGGAGGTGGACTCCCTGACTCTGGTCCTGTGTCCATGTCAGACTGACATTTTGCTGTTATTTGAGAGGATGTGCAGCTGCCACAGCCCGAAGCTGCAAAATTGCTGCACATCCAGACTCATGACTAGACCCATGGCACTGCTTGTGAGTGCCTTGGCCAAATCTGCGTTCTTCCTGATATTACTTCTCCAGTGTCAGCTGGCAACAACACCCTCTCTGTTTCCTGACCAGCCTATTCTTATTTATCTCCATTTTCCACGGCCAAAACGTCTGCACTCAGCAGTGAGAAAAAAGATGCTTTTCTCACAGGGCAAAGGACTGTCCAGCTGCTCAGAATAAAAGCAAACACCCAGAAGTAAGGAGCCAGAGGATATGTGCAAGTGTTACAGACAGAGCAGTTACAAACACAGTATTATAACTGCAACAGAGTGATGCTGGTTTACACCAGGTGAGGAGCCAATCGGGAGGAAAGCTGAGTGGCATCCTTCTGAGCACAGTCCATAAACATCAGCCAGCATTATCATTTATCAGCCGCTTAAATCCACTCAGGAGAGAGGTCCAACCAGGACCACACTCAGGGGTATCTGCTTCTCTGACACCGGAAGCATGTGGTGTCAGACACCAGGCTGCTCCTGCTCCCCCCGTCCCGCTGGCTCTGTGGCAGGGAAATTTCTGAGAAGACTGCCTTGTTCATGAAGCCTTGCCACTGAAACAGCAGGACACTCATTTGCAAAGTTATAAAACACCAGTTTTCAAAAGCAGCCCACAATATACAGGCTTAACACAGACCAGCCTCCGGAGGAACTGGTAACCTATTTTTTTCAGGGCTCGAACAAGCAAACAAAATGTCCAGGCAACAGGCAAATAACCCAAACAATCTTCTGCCTCCAGCTGTTCCCCATTCAGCACGAAGCAAACACAGTCCTGTTATGCTGCTGTTGCCACTCCTTGTGAAGAGGAAACAAACTGCTGGCAGTCGGCGTGGGATGGGGACGCTGGATGGAGGAGCGCTCTGAGCAAGAACCCCTCCATGGCATGGCACAGAGACACCAGCTGAGTGAACCTGATGGGGAAACCCACACAGGCATGGCAACACACTCCCGAAAACCCAGTCCAAATCCAACCTGTGCTGGTGAAGGTTCGCAGTGTGTGCCCGATGTCCTGGTCTCATGCTGGCGGCATGCTACCTCAGCACGGCTGTCACCAGGCAGGAGTGTGTATCACAGAAATTTCCCATACCCTGTGCCTCCTTGGGGATTAGTGGGGGAGGCAGGACAGGAGGGAGCTGTAGTGCTTCCCTTCTCTGTCTCCCGGCTGCTACCATCCACATTCCCAGTGATGTGAAAGGAGCACTGGCCAGCCCATGGTCACCACCATGGCTGCATTCAGATAGGGATACTTAGTGCCCACATACCATCACTGTACCACACTAAGGAGAGACCGGGAACTTTAATACAACCGACTAACAAGAAACTCCCTTTTTTTTTGTTGCCTCGTTTCTGTGACTGTGTTGTAAGCAACTGCAGGGTGTTCAATCTGCTCTGCTGCGTGAGGACTGCTGCTTGCAGTCAGTTTTCTGAACTTGAGTAGCTTCAGCATGAAGCTTTCTTGTGATATGCAAACAGACTATTGCACGTGTCTACCTGTGGGTCTCTCAGGACACACAAAAGCTCCGAGACACCAAAATCCCCCCTGGCAAGAACAACATCTGCAGAAA